CAGATCTACATAACTAACTGTACAGCAGAGCTTTTAATTAAATTTATATTTTAATGCACTGCTTACTGACACACACACACACACACACACACACACACACTTCATGCAAGTTTCGCAAAGAAACTTGTCAACGCTGCCCCGGGGCTTTCTCTCTAGGGAGAACTGTATGCACAAAGGAACCATTCAATGTATGGAAAACTGTATGGGATATATACCCCACGCCTTAAAGTCAGAACTGTATAAAAAGAAGACAAGATTATCATTCTGCAGATGTTTCGCTGTAGAGAGCATCTCCGTTTTATTCTCATTGATGATGAAATAAAATGTATCTTCTGGCATCAAAAACCCAAGACTGAGTGTGGTTCATAAGATGAGCAGCAGACGACACCACAAATTGGCACCCCAGATGGGACGGAAAAGAGCAGAGGAGTAGACAGCCACTTTTGGGCTGACTGAGACGAACAACACAGACCCGGTGGCCACCGAACGGTAAGCAATTTTGCTTATATAATTGGTGTGTGTTGTTTGCTGGTCTGCTCTTGGTGGTAAGGACACTTAAAATCTGCTCTTCCAGAATTAAAAATAAATAAATAACTAAAATAAAGTAAAGAAGGGGTTTTGACGTCAAAAGAAATAACTGCGTGCACATATTTGGTTTACTGTTAGGAAGGCCTTGATAGGTGACCTAAATTGAAACTGGATGGTGTAGGCAGAAATACATTACGTGTAATGGTCTGTATTTATTGTGGATTGGGCCTAAAAGGGCAGCAATCAGCAATGAAGCAGATATAATAAAGGATAGCGCGGAAAGACCTACGGATACCGCTTTGAGAAAGAAAAAGGTGTAAGGAGGATCGAAGGGCTGCACGGGTAGGCAGAAATCCCTGCTGGGCGCAGTTTTTTTACTGAGTTAAGGGAGAAATTGTCAGTAAAAGAACGAGAGCACTGCAGGTCACTCGAGGAAGAGTGTAGTGTTTTGTTGTATGAGACTGAAACTGTGTCTGTGTCCGTATGAATGTCTGTGTGAGTGATGGTGAATGTATGAGGAAATAAATAAATTCCGTATTGGATGGGTACGAGCTGCGCACCCTCTTGGTCCATCACTTAAATGTGGCTTGGCATGGATGGACGCAGTTTGTGCCGCACCCGAGAGGGATGAATAAATGATTAGCCCTATAGATAAAGGGAAACAATATGAATGCTTTAGCCCTATTAAAGGGAAAACGAATGAAAGCATGAGCCCTGTCTGAATAAAGGGACAAGCAGTGTGAATGTGATTAGGAAAATAATATCAATAAAGATTGAATCAAGATCTGGTGTAGACTTTTGCATGTTTGGTGTCTGTGTGGAAGAGACTAAATAGAAAAATATGCTGGGTATCTATACTGATATGGACTGGGTAATGTGTTAGGAACAAAAGGATGCCACATCGTTTGATGGAAATGAAAATTATCAATCTATAGGGCTAAATTCAAAGACACCCCGAAAATTAAAGTGAAAAAATGATGCCGCAGGCAAGTACATTTTGCTGAAATTTCATTGAAGCAACTCTCAATGGTACTCTGTAGTTTGTATGGCCCCCACGTGCTTGTATGCACGCCTGACAATGGATGGGGTCCTGGGGTATTTCCTCCCAGATCTGGAACAGGGCATCACTGAACCTGGTGGCATCGGATGGACCGAAACAGGTGTTCTATTGGATTTAGGTCAGCTGAGCGTGGGGGCCATTCAATGGTATCAATTCCTTCATCCTCCAGGAACTGCCTACATACTACATAAAGGACAAATGCAATAGAATAAAAAGATACAAATGAAACAAACTGTGCTTAAAGGTTTTTTTTATGCAAGTCTCAAGTATTCAGTTAACAGAAATGAATAATCAAATATAAAATAAAACAGCATAGTCTGAGTTAGAATTAAAACATATTTGTTTCTTATTAAAGTTACAAAACTCCTTCACTCAAGAGCAGTGTGTGATTTTGAATTTGTCTTTTGTTGTTTGATTAATATTAAGCCCACAGTCGGCAGCAGGAATATTAGCCCGCTGTCACTTTAAGAGCTGCAGGGATCCAATTTACCGTTACACGCGTATTTTCATTCTCAACTCAACTGTTTATGCTCATTATTACATGACTGACGAAGGTTTACATGAATGATCACTAAGCGCTGCATTTTTATGTTTTTGTGTATTTGACCTTTAGGCATGCAACTTGAGCTAAAAGTTGACTTTACATGTCCGTGTTCTGTTCCGTCTCTGACCGAATACACAGAAATCCTCCGGAAGCTCAACTTCTTTTTAGCGCTTTTAAAAACATAAATAAATCTATTACACTTCAGTAAATCAAGCGCATCCCATTTTGCAAAAGTCACATTACATGATTTTACTGATTTGCACATGAAATTGGGCTTTATGGAGAAACGAAAGCGCACTGCTGGAAAGGGGGCAGAATGGGCCGCAATAATCATTTTATCATGTGCTCAGGGTGAACCTGCTCTCATCTGTGAAAAGCACAGGGCGCCAGTGGAGGACCTGCCAATTCTGGTGTTCAATGGCAAATGCTTTACAACTGCTTAATGCTTAATAACTGATTAACAACCCCCTCTGCTACTTAACTGACCAGATCAATTTCCCAGGAGTTTAATTGACTTGATGCTATGCTCTGATTAAAAAGTGTTCCTTTAATTTTTTTGAGCAGTGTAGTTTACTTATAGTTATATAATTATAGTCTCATCACATTGCAAAACATCTGACCTCCCTGCTTAAAAAAAACTATAGAAACCATCACAGAAATTCTAATGGTTTCCACTACAAATACCATTACAAACATTACAAACCATCAACTTTTAATCATTAAAAATGCTTTTCTGTAGTATGTTTTGGGATATATTCCATTAGGATTTAGTGGTTTTAACAAGCCACCAATAAAACCAGTACAATTCCCCTTATAACCAGTAAAACCACTACAAATTCTGTGATGGTGTCTATTGTTTTTTTTTTCTGCAGGGCTGTATCGGATTTAGTACTACATATGGAAGTGGCACAAATCAGAATTGAAAAGATCAGATTCCATGTGAGATCTGAGTCACATGTGAGCAAAAACCTTCTCTGACTAAAAAAAAAAAACTAGAGGAGAATGTTATGTTATGAATTAAGAAAGGTGGAAGGTTTTATATATTTTGATGATGATAAATAGTGTGTTGTGTTGAACTTTAATCATATCAATCATATCAAGGTACATTTGGTCATCAAAACGCATTGATAAACTGTAAAAACTGTCCAGAGTACACTAGTTCCTCTCAAAGTATTGTTTGCTGAATTAAGAACCTTAAAGGTCACATATTTTACACCTTTCTGGAGTTTTATTTTAAGTCTTGATGTCCTTAAGAATATATATTTGTGGTATAAGTACCAAAAACCATCTCAATATATTTTTATAGCTCCTCTCTCAGGAGCTCTGCAAAGAACTGGTCGATTTTGGCCTGTCTAATTAATATTCATGAGCCTCTCTTCTGATTGGCCGGTTGTTTTCTGAGTGACGCACAGCCAGGCCAACCACAGCTAACTAGGGTCATGTATGCTGTAGCCTGCTGTGGATTGGTGTTACTCACAAGTAAGGTCAATAGAAACACCAGTAATGATGGTCACTGCTGAGGGAAATATTGTCTGGCCTTACGTGTTTGAGCCGAACTCAGACCCTGAATCACCGACGACAGGAGACAACCAACCACCTCCTCAAACATGCTTACAACAGGATGTTTCAGAATGGTAATTCATGTTTTTTTTTCAAACACCGAAAGTAGTAAATACAAACCTGACCAGCTGACAAAATGCACAAATTTGTACAAATGCGAATGGGTGACATGAATGGAAATGATTCCAGATTGGTGATGTAGTATTTGGTTTCTGTATTCTGTACTGTATTTTCCTGCTCTCAAACCTGCCAATCTAAAGGATCAAACGCCGTGTATGGCATTTGAGGTAATTCGTGAATTAGCATAGACTTATAGTCTAAATAAAACAATTTGCAGCTGTTACTATTATTACACTTGTATACAAAACGTCTCAGGTTACGTATGTAAACATGGTTCCTCGAGGGAACGAGACGCTGTGTCGGAGAACGCTTTGGGAACGCCTTCTGTGACCATGCTCTGAATCACATGTGAAATCAGTCCAATAGCTGGGCGAGACGTCACGGGCAGGTGACGTCATGAAGCTATAAAAGCACATGCGGCAGAGCCGGTGTCAGCTTCAGGAATGAAGCAAGCGCTGGCAGGGATGCCGGAAGTATGGCACCGAGATGCAGCGTCTCATTCCCTTGAGGAACCATGGTTACATACGTAACCTGAGACGTTCCTCTTCAGGAACTCGAGCTACGTCGGAGAACGCTTCGGGAACGAGAATGCCCACGCCGCCAGACTTTCAAATCTATGCCTAGTGTGGAAGCCTGCACAGCTAGGGCGAGAGAACAGAAGAGCCAGGAGTGGCTCGCATATCTAGATCGTAGAATCTGACGAAGGTAATGGGCGTGGACCAACAGTCAATGGCCTGCATAGAGACACCTGCTAAAAAGGCCTTGGAGGCCGCCACACTTTGAGTGGAGTGAGCCTTGACCCCTACCGGCGAGGGGAGATCAGAGGACTCATAAGATATGGAGATGGCATCCACTATCCACTGACTGAGAGTCTGTTTCGTTGCTTGAAGACCTCTCTTAGGGGAACCGTAGCAAACAAGCAGTTGGTCCGCCCAGTTGCTCGCACTGGACACTTACAATTAAGCTTCTGCTGGTCTGGCTCCCTGAAGGGAGGAGGACTAAAGACCTGGAGTATGATAAGCTGCGGTGCATACTTTAGGGACATACCCCACTCGAGCGTACAGAAACGCTTTGACTAGACCGGGCGCAAAGTCAAGATAGGAAGGGGCCACTGATAGGGCCTGCAAATCCCCAACTATCTTAAGAGAAGATATCGCCAGAAGAAAGGTAGTCTTTAAAGTAAGGTGGCGATCAGAGATCTCCTCAATTGGCTCGAACGGAGGCTTACAGAGAGCTTCTAGCACCACGCCCAGGTCCCATGTGGGGACGCGAGATCGTACGAGAGGCCTCACCCTCAGCGCACCGCGGAGGAAACGTGTAAACGGGGGGTGTCTCCCCACTGACTGGCCACCGGGGGGGGGGTCGTGGTAGGTCGCAATGGCCACCACGTAGACCTTAAGGGTGGAGTGGGTTAACCCTGTAGAGAAACGAGCCTGCAGGAACTCCAGTACTGTACCAACTGGGCAGTTAGCTGGGTCGAGCTGGCGGTCTCTACACCAGGAAGTGAAAAGCTTCCACTTCAAGGCGTACAGTTTCCTCGTGGAGGGAGCTCTGGATTGGAGGATGGTCTCAACAACCTCAGTTGAGAGACCAGAAGCTACTAGTTGTGCCCCCTCAGGGGCCACACCCATAACTTCCACAGCTCCGGGCGGGGGTGAAATATCCTGGCTCTCCTGGCTCTTCTGTTCTCTCGCCCTAGCTGTGCAGGCTTCCACACTAGGCATAGATTTGAAAGTCTGGCGGTGTGGGCATTCTCGTTCCCGAAGCGTTCTCCGATGTAGCTCGAGTTCCTGAAGAGGAACGTCTCAGGTTATGTATGTAACCATGGTTCCTCAAGGGAATGAGACGCTGCGTCTCGGTGCCATACTTCCGGCATCCCTGCCAGCGCTTGCTTCATGCCTGAAGCTGACGCCGGCTCCACCGCACGTGCTTTTATAGCTTCCTGGTCATGATGTCACCCGCCCTTGACGTCTCACCCAGCTATTGGACTGATTTCACATGTGATTCAGAGCGTGGTCACAGAAGGCATTCCCGAAGCGTTCTCAGACGCAGCGTCTCGTTCCCTCAAGGAACCATGGTTACGTACGTAACCTGAGACGTTAAGTTGTATTTACAACACTGTTCCAGAACAGTTCAACCCAAATGTTCAGATGTGTCCAGCGCATTTTATGGAGGACTGTTTCCTGATCCTGGTAGAGTAGACTACAATGCCGGCTGTTCTGACTCACAGACTGTAAGTACGTTTTTTATATTTAAAGGATTTGCCACTGACGATTCAAACGCGAGTTTTGAGCAGTGTAGAGTAGCGTTTGTAGTTTGTAATTTCGCCTATCACAAATGCAGACATGGTTTTATGTTTACGCGGCGCGATGCAATGCAACGCGTAAAAAGACAGTATAAGTCATTATAATCAGTAATTATGTCCCCACTGGATGCAACAAATGCCTCGTTTATAATGGGTTTTTTAATGTTTTTGTTTCATCGCTCCGGGCAGGACAAGGCATCACAATATGACAAGGGGTGTAACATTTCCATCACACACTTGAGGTATTCGGCCAATCACAACGCACTGGATAGCTGACCAATCAGAGCACACCTCGCTTTTCAGACCGATGAGCTTTGTAAAAAAACGACGCGTTTCTGAAAGGTGGGGCATAGAGGAGAAACAATAATGTACAGTATGTGGAAAATAATGGGGGTTTTTTACCTTAAACCGCATAAACACATTTCATTACACCAAATACACAAAATAATGTTCTTTTTAGCAACATCATATGACCCCTTTAAGACACATTTTTTTATTTTTATCAACTTTGAAAACAATTGTGCTGCTTGGTATTTTTGTAGAAACTGTGATAGATTTCTCAAGGTTCTTTGATGCATAGAAAGCTCAAAAGAACAGCATTTATTTAAAAGAAGATTTTTTAAAATGCATCCTTGCTGAAAAAATTATTTCTTTCAGAGAAAGACAAATAGAGGATTGAAATATATGATACCAATCTTCTTTTGTAGCTCAAGGGAAAATAGGGTGGAAAAGGATGTCACCAATGCCCTCTGCAACACACTATTTTCATTTATCTATTGTAATATATACAGATAATAGAGAACTTTGATTCAGCCTATGTGGCAACCAACATGTAAAGGCATTTTTTTAAAGCTTGCATTTAGATAGTAATGTTTAAAGCTGTTAGTTTATGTGTCTAAAGTTCTAGTTATGAATGTTACTGGGATTGTGAAATAAGTATTAGTTAATTAGATATATTTTAATTGATATTCCCTGATATAACAAAGGCAAGGAAGAACTATGTTCTCTCACATAGCCTGGACACAGTGTGATTCTAAATATCATCAGCCATGAAATAACAGTACTGAGAGAATGATGTGTGTTTTTTGTGATCGGAGCTTTGACTGTATTCTCTTTCCAGCCATTATCTCCAAATATTTGTGTGTTCTGAAAGATCACAAGCTCTGTACACAAGAAAAAGATAAGTAAAATGTAAATTTCAGATGAAATCTGAGGGTCTCCACACATACAGTGGGTACGGAAAGTATTCAGACCCCCTTAAAATTTTCACTCTTTGTTATATTGCAGCCATTTGCTAAAATCATTCAAGTTAAGTTTTTTTCCTCATTAATGTACACACAGCACCCCATATTGACAGAAAAACACAGAATTGTTGACATTTTTGCAGATTTATTAAAAAAGAAAAACTGAAATATCACATGGTCCTAAGTATTCAGACCCTTTGCTGTGACACTCATATATTTAACTCAGGGGCTGTCCATTTCTTCTGATCAGCCTTGAGATGGTTCTACACCTTAAGTTGAGTCCAGCTGTGTTTGATTATACTGACTGGACTTGATTAGGAAAGCCACACACCTGTCTATACAAGACCTTACAGCTCACAGTGCATGTCAGAGCAAATGAGAATCATGAAGTCAAAGGAACTGCCTGAAGAGCTCAGAGACAGAATTGTGGCAAGGCACAGATCTGGCCAAGGTTACAAAAAAAATTCTGCTGCACTTAAGGTTCCTAAGAGCACAGCGGCCTCCATAATCCTTAAATGGAAGACGTGTGAGACGACCAGAACC